TGCATTCATCCGAGATGATCGGGTTGACAACAAGTAATTTAATAATAAAAAAAAACAAAAAAAAACACACACACATAAGTAAGAAAATTATAGTCGGTCGTGATCGAATTTACTATAGCCATCACCGTGATCCTAAAAAAAAAACAACAAATAAATTCAATTTTCATACGCTATAATATTAGGTGGGCGCGGCTGATTTTTTCTCTTTTCAGAATAAAACTTGAAATTTATATCGTGTTGCTGTTGTAGTTTATAAGTAACTAACAAAAAGCACCAGTACTTGTCGCATAGGCGTCTAGGGGTTGGAGGCGTGTCCTTTAAAAGTTTTAGATCGCTTCTTTTACAAATTTGTAGACGATATCTTCATTTTCACTAATGCGAGAATCTTTACTACAAATACTATATAGTTGGACAAACGGACAGACAAACAAACGGGCATGCTCAGAAGCATTGTGAGTTTGCAACTGGCCAAAAATTGATATACATTATGGGGTCTTTAGACCTTGTTTCTGCGCCTTATAAAGGTTTTGAAAAAAAAATTAAAATATCACTCACTATAAAATTGAAAAGGCGTGAGCGATTTTTTCCATTTCTTCAGAGATACTGCGGAATCGACCAGAGAATATCCCTTTAGATTGTTGTAGATTTATCTGCTATAGTTGATAAGTAATGACGAAAAAACCAAAGCTTTTTTATTTCTTTTGAAAAATAAAGGTTTTCTCAGTTTACCTGTTCCTAACTCATTTGCAATGTCAAACTGCCTGCAAGGGCTTGCAATGTTTCTGCCAAATTTCAAGTCGATAGCTTCATTTTTACCGTCTAGGAAATGTTTCCAATAGGCATTATACAACGGACAGACGGACAACCAGACGAGATAGACATGCTTAAATCGAAGCTGATCAAGAATATAGTCTGTGGGATCTCAGAGGCCAACTTGTGGGTGTTGCAAACGGTTTGGGCAATTGAAAATACCCCACACGCTCCGGTGATGGGTATAAGAAACTATGTCAACAAACTTTTCATTTAAAGTAAATCAAATAAATTAGAAAAGTTAGCTAATAAAACTTTAATTATCGACGATTGTTTATAATGAAGGTCACGTTTAATTGAGTGGTTAAAAGTAAAGTAAAACCATCATTTTTTTTATTTATTTGCTTTTTTTATGACTTTATCTAGCGGAAAGGTCAACTATACTATCTATTGTAACATAAAAATAGCGTTAATTGAGTTTTAATCGTTAGTAAACAAATAAAGAAAGAGAAAAAGGAGGAAAAACAAAAAAAAAAAAAAAAGTAAATAAATAAAGAAACCTTTAGGCAGAGAATCTTAACTGTGTTAATGTTAAGCGATTAAACGGACATTTAACGAGCAATAATGTAAAACTTACTAAACAAGACACACCTGAATATGACAAAATATATGTGTGTGTGTGTGTGTTTGTGCGTGTGAATGTATGAACATTTACGCTCATACAAAGAATGGTTTATTGTGAAAATGACCCAATAAGTTTTGGTTTAATATTATTTTGTAACCGTAATAGATAACACAGATTGCTTGCACGCTAAACTTAGTCTTCTTCTTCTTATTATTATCATCATTTCTATTTATTTATTATTGTTGTTGTTGTTGCTGTTGCTGTTGTTGTTGTTGTTTTTTTCACTTTCGTAATGAAAAGTGAAAACAATGTTTCGGTAAATTTCAATCTAAACTACCTTTATAGCATTAAAACCCACTGCTTGATTGGTTTATAAACTAAACATTACCGCCCACCCATTCGGCAATTTCGTAATGCATTACAAATGCTCGGGTATGTGTGAAATGTTTTAAAAAACAAAAAAAAAAAAAAAAGACTAAAATAATACACAAGAAGGAAAACAAAAACCAAAAATTGAAAAATAACTTTAAGTTACACCCACCTGACCAAATAGCGATAAATAACTAGATTATCATAAGCTAAAAAAATGTGCATTCATTCATTTTAAGTCGATTATTGAACGCTCTTCACTTGAATCCGTAACATTCATTAACTTGTTAATGACTCTAATAATGTAAATGAATAGCTAAGCATATCCATCCGTAATATAAATAAATAAAAGAAGAAAAAAAAAAACAAAATCAATAGAGAAAGTCGCTAAATTGTTTAAGTCTTTTATTTTTTATAATTCATTTTGTCAAATACGTTGTTTGCAACGCCCAAAAGGTGTACATATTTTTGATCATCATGTCCGTCCGTCCGTCCATCTGTCCAATGTCTGTTGTATGCATTCTCCTCGCCGCAGACATGAAGCTATCGACTTGAAATATGGCAAAAACAATGCAAGTTCTTGCGCGCCCATTGGGATTGAAAATGGGCCAAATCGGTTGAAGAACAACCCCACAGTACCAGATAAATTAAGAAAACCTCTGCTTTTCAAAAAGAATAAAAAATTGTTTTTTCGCTCCTCACTCATAAACTACGGCAGACAAATATACAAATATTTGTGCTTATCTTCTATAGGCGATGCCGTACTACCTATACACAAATGGGAAATGTTGATCTAGCCCACCCAATACTTACAAAACTTGATATATTTTTTCAATGGCTTTAAAACGTGCAGAAGCATGGACTATATAAACTTTTGCCGAGTTCCAAATTCGAAATTTACCTAAGCACATTCGTCTGCGCAACTGTGCCGTATTTGTGGCAAACATTCTCCCATTCGCATAAATGAAGATATTGCCTGCAAATTTGCAAAGGAAGTGACTTGAACTTCTCCGAGGACACGCCTATGCGATAAAAACTTTTATTTTAAAAATAGAAAAAATCAGTCGCACCTGCTTCACCTTATAGAGTATGAAAATTTAGTTGTAGCCCTTTTTAGAATAACGGTGACGGGTATCAACGATTCGAGAACGACCAAAAATAATTTGCTTACATTTTTTTTTTTTTTTTTTTCATTGCAAACCAAAGACATATAAATTAGAAACCCTTTAACTCTTTACAGTATACATGTCCTGGAATGATAAAAGTTTCTTTCTTTTCATTTTCGTTTGATTTCTCATTTTTTCATTAAATTCTCTGTTTGAGGCCATTCGACGGATCATTAAAATCCAAAGAAGTTTGAGTCCGTTAAGAAAGCGTGCTATAAATTTAAAATTAAAAGTTGAAAAATTTGAAAACTATATCAATACATAGCATACGGATCCCATATATCGCTCAAAGATCATCAATGAGGAATTGTAGTGACTCAAGAGGGGCTTTCAATATTGCATAACTCAAAGCTACGCTGTAGTAATCTCGTAACGATGTTAGGCTAATTTCAGAATTTGACTATGAACATCCAATTTACAAAAAATGTCAATTATCGAGATTTGGGTGTTTACGAAATATATTAAATTATTATTACGTAATGTATGTATGTGTTTTCATAATATGTGCCTGAAAGGATCAATACATTTTGGACGACTTATAAACAACTTTTTTATTAGAATGCTGTTGGTGCATATGTTTGGTTTGTTTTTGTGCTAGCGACACTATTTACCGAAATTAATTTTCTTTCACATCGTGTACAAGATAACATGGACGTTTATTATAATGAAGGCAACTGGAGGCTTATAATTCATCCTGTATAAGTGCAAAATATTTTTTAATTTACCGAAGGAACGATACGATCCATGAACTAATTATGCGGGTAAAATTGTACCGAAAGAAATAGACACAACTTGATTTATTAATAATACCATAAAACATTGAATAATCACAACTCGAAATAACTTTTCAAGGAAGGTCACGATCTTCGTCGATATCGTGATTATGTTTTTCTTGCATTAATTTTGCGCCATCTAACGATGTTCGTAACACTGCTTGAGATGTGTACCGATAACGGTACATGCAAGCATTTATTCAAAATTATCATAGCGTGTACCAAAAACTACACATGTCGTGTGGAAATGACATCTTCTTATAAAAGACTTGGCAAGGAAAATATTAATGTGGAAGAAATGAACTCTCTTGGAAATGATAGGATCTTTTTTCAGATCATAAAAAACTTCGGTGTCTCTCACATAAAATTATAGGCCAAAGAAGCCATTAAGTAAGGCAGGGCGATAGAATGGACCAGGGCATAAAATCAGACCGTACGTCCGTCTCCATAAGGGCTTCTGCTCGTCTATTTCGTGAGTGTAACCGACTGTGTAATGTTTATTGGATCAAGAATTAACCCTCGCTCCCACTATTACTACCAGAGTAGTTAGCTTTCTGATCTTTTCACTATATTAATATAATATATTATTACGTTACACAAACATTGCAAATTTTGGTCAGATAAATAAAAAAGTGACTGTATTTTCTATAGACAGTGTTTCTCTGAATTTTATAGTAGAACTGCTTTTGTTGGTATTTATGGCAAAGTGCAGCTTTTTATTTTGACTTTTGGAACTTTGTATTCAAAAAAATCGAATAAAGATGGAGAGATAGGCAGAGAGAAAAAGAGAAGCGAAGAAGGGAAATTTGAAGTTGACTATAAATATATATACAATGCAAAGGCTGCGATGCCCCGATTCATAGTTATTACAAATACAATGACAAACTCACGATATGCTTAGAGAGGAAGTTCAGGCGCCCACATGCGAGTATATTCTCAAAAAAAAAAAAAAAAGAAACATTTATTTCAAGGTTTCGTTTGTTGTTTCTTTTTTAATTTTAAACAAGAGTGTTTAATAAATTGTTTAAAATATTGGCATTACTGTAAGGAGCATATGCTGAAGGAAAGCAATTTAGGAGATTATAAATCTTTACATTAAATACGATATTATTTTTATTATTAAATTTCTTATTTGCATATAGTCAGTCATTCACACATGCGCATACGCAATACAAAAATGCTAATAAACAATTGAATAAATCTTGCTTACTATATAAAGCACAAAATTTATAGTAAATAAATTTACAGAAAAAATTTATAATAAGTTGTCTGTCTGTCTGTCGGTATATTTATTTGTGTTTATGCATGAATACTCACCACAATCAAATCGCTATCGCGACTTGTAGCCACTGTTGCACCCAACCATTGATATGATTTACGATCAATCACTTCACCATTTGTGTTGCGTTTGTTGCCTGCAAGACAAAGAAAGGAAAAGTAAGAATTTAAATGACAAAAGTTTACTTCATAAGTTCATCATCTATACCCTCGCGTATATATATATATATATATACATGTCTAAGAGATAAAAGTATCAATTTAACTGAATTGTTTGTCCGTATATATATATGTACACTTAATCAAAATGTACAATGCAACAAAAACAAATAACTCTATTAAAGTGTGTTTAAACAAAAATTAAAAATAAATGAAAAGACAAAAACAATAACAAAAAAAAAAAAAAAAAATGAAGAAACAAAAGAAAAATTATTAAAAATAATGAAGACTAATAATATGCTGTATGTATATATGTGTGTATATGTGTATATATATACAAATATATTACATGTTTAAACAGAAGATCACATCGCATCATAAAGTCACAAAAATCGCTTATCTGATTTTATGATGACTGACTGATGAACTGACTGAGTGACTGACTGTGCGTGTAAATCATAAATTGTTTAGTAGTCATAGCACTTGAGTGAGTAATGGAGATAGCGAACGCGACTTCGGTATAAACTATAAGAAGAAGCAAAAATTCTTTTTATGTCTTTTTTACATTATTACAAGAATATTCCGTTTTTTTTTTTTTTTGGTTTTGTTTTTGTAATGAATGAAAATTTAATTTACGACTTTTACTTATATGATTGTTTATCATTCTTTATATATGTGTATGTTGAGAATGTAACACCTACCTTTGAACTTCACAAAGCATTTATTATTAATTCCTTTTTGTTTTCACGAAGGCATTAAAATAAATAATTAAAGACGAATATAAATTTAAAAATAATTATACATACATATATATGTATATAAATGTCTTAACGGTAGATTATGTGTATATAAGATTTTAGAGATCGTGAAATTTTATTCAATTAATTTCGAAACGAACGGAAATGTTTTCAGTCCGATACCTGTAAACTTTATATTCTAACATAGGACAATGGGCAATAAAGTAATTTGACGAATGCTAACCGATAAATAGTGTTGGTTTTGGGCGGGACGAGGGGAGGAACATACCTATTTCCCAACTTACTTTATGAGCATAAGCGCAGAAATTATGTGCCAAGATTTGTTTCTTTGTTTCGTTGTGTCAATGAATACTTTGGAATCCATATTCACTCGGAAAGCATATTTCTCAAAGATGCCCGTGCCGGACAGACGTAAGCAATGTGCTCCACATCACAAGACCTATTCGCTTGTAGGTCAAAAGATCAGCAATAAGTTAAACCGTTTCCACGGTTAGTCAAAACTTGGATTGAGAAAAAATTTACTTCTTTCTCTCTCTCTCTCTTTCTCTCTCTCTTTCTCTCTCTCTCTCTCTCTCTCTCTATTATCTCCACTCACTTGCTGTTCAAAGTTAGGGATTGATGCGTCGGTCGATCTTCCTTTCGAATCGTTTTCGCACCACGTTTTGCTACTCGTCTAATGTCGATCTATCGGTTAACTGTCTTTGATTTGCGAACGTTTTTCTTTCTCTTTTTACCATTGCGAATATATATGCATGTACGTTTGTATCTATTATCTATGCATTGATATAAATATTGCGTTGTCAATGAACGTTTTGTTTAAATAATGAACACTAATGCTTGGGCAAAGATTTTCGAGAATGAAAATCGCTAAGCGTTTTCAAAAGTCAACGTTACTTTCGGACGAGGAGGAGGCGTGAAATTATTAAAATTGCATTTTTCTTATTGCTTATATAAATAATAAACTGAATTAAATTCTTTGCAAAGCCTAAATAATAATTTAATATGTCAAGCCTCTTACCATAACCGTAACACTATTCCTATCTTATATATATATATATATACATATATATACATATACTTATATATACATAAATTGTTAACATATCCAATTATCATTTAGCTTAATAAGTTATTGTTATTAGAGTAAGCATTAATACTGCTGAGTTATTTTTGACAAGAGTCTCGTGAGTAGGCAAGAGTCTCGACTAGCAATTATCAATGGTCGTGCGTTCAAATGTCAAGTGCGGTAGAGTTTTTAATAAATCCGAAAGCCTTCGATGCTAGTGCTTTAAGACTTTAATCTCAGAATTTATTCTCTGACGAAGTTTATAATAATAATAATAATAATAATAAATAATAAATTGGATAATCTTTTCAATATCCAATGAATGATTATGGTTAGTATATTGCAGCTATATTACATATAACAAGCAGAAATACAGCTGAGTTAATTGCTTTATTATTTAATAATTGGAATAAACTCAATGATAAATTGCTTACGTTTACTAAGCCTATTATTCAATTTTTTGTTTTAAAATTCAGTCGACCGATCAGTAACCGATCGATTATCATATCGCATTAGATGGCCATAATGGCCATAATTAAAAAATCCTTAATTACTTTAATCATCATTTCCATTCTTAGGCAATGCGTAGAATTTATCACTAAATTAGTTGCATACTTATGCAATTTGAAATGCATAGTGCAGTGACAATGACTTTGACATTGTCACTGCTTTTAGTTGTTTACCGTTTCTATTCCATTCTTATTTTTATTTTTTTTATTTTTTTCATTGTTATCCCAGTATGTCGTTGATTACCTTTAAATAATCAATTTTATATGCATGACTCAGTCTGATGTCTTTATTACGATTTGCGTCCCCTTTGGTTTTATAGCTAAAAGTACCTTCAACTTGGCATTTGTTTTATCGTTTTCATGTATATACGCGCGCGGAAGCTTCTGTCATTTTTGCATTGAGTTAATCTTAAACACTTATGTTAATTGTAAATATACTCATAACGTTTCATTTCTTTTCCTTCTCTTATTGTTTACTGTTTAATTTGCTACTTTTTCGAGTTTATATTTCATTTCTTTAGTGTATTTATATAAAGTGTGCGTTGTCTGCTCGCTTGCTAAGTGAGTGGCAAGCACTTGGTTGGTTGCTACTTCCTAAATTAAATGGCATATCATTTCCGGCTTCTTTTCCTTTTTGCAATAAAACACAAAAAAAAAAAAAAAAAAAAATATTAAAATTCTCGTGAATTGAAATTCAATTGGGGAGAGAGAGAGAGTATGAAAATCAATCGCATATATGATAAATAATAGTATTTAATCATTAGCTAGACTCCGGGCTTCGTTGTCAATTGCCCAACTGCCCTGACTAACCGTATGATTGATTAGGTTGTTTGTCATTAATAACAACAAGAATAATAATAATAACAACAGCAGCAATAGCAGCAGCAGCAGCAGCAGCAGCAGCAGTACCACGATGTTTACTTACTTTATTAGCGATTCTTATGCCAGTTAATCAGTCAAATCACGTTAACAAAGCTGTATAGCGTTGACGGACATCATCTATCCAGGCTCGCAAGTAAAATGCAACGAATATTTATCAAAAAAAAAAAAAAAAAAAAAAGAAAGAGAAACGGAAGGTTTCATTGATCAATTGATCAAACAGCAGCACCCTCATCAACAATATTTTTTGCACACAAACACTTAAATTTAATAGTGGACTGCACGTGATTTATGCAGGCAAATTTAGTATTCATTACAACTTGAATACATACACACGCATATACATACGTATATACTTACATAAATACATTCATATACATACATACATACATACATACATACATACATACACGCATATACATACATACACGCATATACATACATACA